TTTTAAATAGCCCAAAATTCCTAAACTCCAAGTGTGCAGTAATGCAGTCATTCTGGCTCTGTAGGGTAGCACACACCCAGGCTTTATGATACACTGTTCCCAGGTTGAAATTTAACAAGTAGTCACCCTTGAGCTCTTTAAATCACTGCGGTGGAGCAGACAGGTCCTTGGTAGAGATGAATACAAACACTATCAGAAAGAAATACTGCTGGATGAGTCACAGGGGGAAAATGGGACCTAAGAAAGAACATTTGGTGTCAAAATCTCTAAAATGGCAAATTGAACAGGCAGGTCTAGGAGGAATTCCGTGATAATTCCATCTCATCTCAATTGTGGTTGTGTAATAACCACAATCTGCTTTAGCAAACTCAGCACAGCCATTGCATTGGGATTTCAAAAACACCTGTTTCTGCTGAACTAAGCAGTGTTCAATAAGTTCTCATATGAAGCTTGAAAGATACTGGAATCATAATAATGTTTACTCCTCCTGCCAGTGTGAGATGGCAACAAACGTAGCACCAGCACATCTACAGTTTCTAGTTTGAAAGTAACTTGAAACATGTGACTCACAGACCAGAGCGGAATTAAAAAGGTTGAATAATTTTTTGTGTGTTAAATTTTTTTCATTTTGTTTAATCCTCATAGATGGAGAGCAAAGTAGACCTGAGGATGATATTTTCTACACCAATTTTATTAGCTGGTCATTTTCTAGGAAGTCTCACACAATTTAATTCTCATCTACAACAGGAGTCACAGCTTGTTTCCTTTACAAGTGCAAGTAATTTGAGCTGGCTCCCTCATAAAATTGGTGTACATGTGACAGAGAAACTGCTTGGAACAGATCTAATAGCTGATAAGCCTGTGGCAGCTCTCTTGCTTAGCACCTGTGCTTCAACCAATGGTTTAAATTCGTGTTAAGAGATTTGAAGTTTTCACAATCCAACCATAGGCCTCCCTGACTTCCCTGGGAAGGAGCTACTCATACCTGGAAGCAGAGGCATAAGGCCTGTGAGCAACCCCTGCACAGGGTGGATCGAGCTCGCTGGTGCTGCCACAGGGACACACGTGTGCCCGGCTACTGCACATGTCTGATCACGCTTGAGAGAGGCCACAAGAGCCAGCTTGCTGCAGCCTCTAACTAAAGCCATAGGAGGGGACTGGAATTTCCTCACAACATTCTTGGCCTGCTGCCTGAACCATAATTACTGTTCCCATGGCAAAGATCCTGGCTTGATCACAAATCACTCCTATGCAGTCAGCTTGTATCACACTCCAGCAAACCCTGCTTTAAAAATTAACTTCTCAAATGCCTTAAGTGTCCTTTTTTTCCTGGAAGCATCATCTTTCTACAAAAGCCCACCCTACTCAAGAAACTACAAGATTCTTCAGCACCTAAATTATTCTGAGGTATTTTATCACTGAAATGACACTTTACCTAAAGAAAAACAAGATACAATAGTTCATACGCTTTCTAGTAAGTCAGTCCTACCCAGACCATTATAGGCTAAAGATACAGTGATAGCTCAGCAAATTAAGGACAGGAAAAGGAGACCGTGATCTTGGTCAAATTACTCAGAAGAGGCAACTGCAGGGGTCAGACCCAGCACCTTAGTGCCTCAAATACAGCGCCTCCATCTTAAGGTCATACTTCCTTTAGAGACAGCAATGAAACTATGGTAAAAAAAGAAGTCTTAAAATCATGTGTTTCTTATCTGCAGGACATTCCAGAAGGTTGCGCATCAAGAGCCCCATACCAGAACTGTAATGAGCTTCCTAGACAAATTCACACACTTTAAACAAAGAGCCTGCAGACCAGGCTAGATGTGAAGCCCAGGAATTGCTGCTACAATTCCCACCCTGATTAAAAACAAGACCATCAGGCACCACAGTGCTCTAGTAAACCATGAGAACATCTGGGGGCTTAAGTTACAGGATCTAAATATGGCAAAGACCTAAGAACAATTACTAGAAGCAGGTGTGACTACCTTTAATATGTAAATTAATAACGTGAGAAAATCCTAAAATAAGGTGTCAGTCTTTTAAAACAAAGTAGAACAAACTAATACCTACTTCCACAAAGCCCTCAATTTCAACTTTAGATTTAGCAATGGGAACACTCACCACAGAAGACAACCAAGAGGCTGCTGTGAATTATCTGACAACTTGCTCAGCAGCGTTTTAAGTTACTGGCATTGTTCCCACTTGTCTGAGAATTCTCCAACTTTGGGACATTCGAGTCAATAACAGAACACTGAAAAGGTCTACTGAAGTCTCATTAACACACTGCCTCCAGCACATCAAGAGCTGACAGCTCTTGGGAACTATCATCTTCTAATACCTTATCAAACTGGATGGAGAACCATCCTGACCTTCTTTGTACACGCACAGGAAGAAGGAGTAAGTTTACACCTCAGGTTAAAGTTTTCCAGCTCAATTTTTCCTGTCTAATCCAGGAGCTCAGCCAGCAAGCTCTCTTGTGAGCACAGCTTTCAGAACAGACACTAACAAAGTAGTTCTATCTCCACCTGAACTCACTACTATGAATGTTTTATAGTGAACACATCAAAACCCACAGTTCCACAGCATGAATATATCAAGCAATTATAAAGAATATCTGCTTCTGAAGGGGGGATCAGTTAATCATTGAAGTGATTTCAGTGATGCCCCAGGGATCAAACAAATGCTGATGGATGAACAGAGCTCTATCATGGGTTATTTCAGCCAAGACAACACCAAAGTGCTTCAGTGATATTACAGAAACCCTCTGCAGTCCCTTCAAAGTATTGGCCAACCAAAGGAGGGTGGATGGGAGTTGAAGAAACACACAAAAGCATCAACAACGTTTCCAAAGAGCTGCAGCCAAGAAGTCTTCACACTTGCCATGGAGGTAAGTGCTCTTAAGAAGCCATGGATGGGTGATCTGATGGCCCAGTGTCTTGGACCAGGTCTGCCTGCACCTCCTGCATCCAGGCCCCACGGGCAGAGGGTTTTAGTATAAGGCAGCAGAGTGGGGAGCTGGGGGGACACAGCTGCCCGGCACACAGCACAGAGGGTGCACACCTGAGAGCAGCCTTCACCTTGCTCCTGCTGTGAGCAGACAGGACTCTCACTGGCCTAAGCAAACCCATTACATGTAGAACATGTTGCAACATAACAGTAAAGAATGTACTTCTACTGGATGATCTACACTGGCACATTCAATGTCTTATTTAAACATGATCAGGTAATGTGGCTGTGTCAAAAATAATGTTTAAACTTACCTTTATCAAGATGATTCAACCTTCTGTTTTGCTTCTGTCACACTTTAAATTTTGATTCAACTTTCTCAAGACCTGCCTTGTCTGAAAAGAACCCTCACACTTCTGTCTCGCCACTCCCCACCCCACTGCACAACTGGCATAACTGTGGCCACAGCTCTATGCTGGAAGGGAAAGCACTTTAGGGGGATTTCTCCTATCCTCAATTTAGACATTTGTCTGTACTGCGCTGAAATTACCCCCCCAGATGGGAGTGATGAGGCATGCAATACCACATCCTAAAGCCTTTCAAGACTCACTGAGGACTACAATTACAGTTTCAGAAGCTTCCTGGTCAAGTTTAGTTATGGAAAACTACTTAAAGCCACAGAAAACTGAAGCTGCAAATTACACAGTCAACTGAGAAGACTTCTGCCTAGAAGATGATGTATCAAACTGCTCTACAGCAGCCAAGGGATGACTTAGTCCACCTTTTATCTTGGCTACAAACTAGTAACCAACCTTATTGTCCAGGCCCAAGCCTTTCATCCTCCTCTGATGGCAAATTGAATGCCTGGCAGCATATAGTGTTCTCAAACAGAACCAGACACTATCAGGGCATTACAATTAATTCAAATTTCAGATTTCCATATGAGAAAGAGGATAACCTTTCCCCTACAGCCATTAACAGAGTTCCTTCTTGAATTAAATGCTTCTCAAAAACCCCAGACCACTAACACACATCCTTATACTTAACAGCAGTCACATCTAATTTTGTGCTTTTGATACAAAAATCTATTTGCAGTCTAGGAGCAAACTCTAATGCTTCTGCTTCATTTTTGTAGACCCAGTAGAGCTCATACTACACAGGCTCATCTCTGCTCCACATTAGTCCTATCAGACACTGCATCATTTCACCAGCCTACTCAAGTTGCCACATGCAACTATGTTGCTTAGTTAGTAATGAAGACACCAACAACACATGATTCAGGCCATTAGGAAAAGCTGCTGGGTCACTACTTTGAGGGCCAACATCCACACACTTATCTAATAAAGAGAACTCACAGGACTGAACTTACTGTAATTCTGATCTCAGAGCATTAGCTACAATGTTCACAAAGTAAGATGAAAAACCTTTAATAGATGGAGTGCCAGTCCATCCTGCACATTCCAGTTTAACATTTCACAGGAATGAGCTTTTATCTTGTGAACACAACAGCCTATTACCACGCACAGCAGATAAGGAGGCTCCTGTCAGCACTTTGAGTCTCAGGGCTAAGTCTGCACTTTCAAAACCTGAGACTGGAAGGGTAAAGGTCATATTTACTGTACTCACAAGAGATAAAAATCAACAGCTAAACACTCAATTTTTTGTGGCAGAAGGATTTTTGACATATAACTGAACAGGAATTCATATAAACAAAGGAAATAAAGTTCTCAAAAGAACCAATTTCTCCATTGAGAAGCATAGCCTAGCACAAATAACAAGCATGGCTTGACATTTTAGTAGTGGAAAGGGCTGTTTCTAAATGCAGTAAAGATCTTTTTCTGACAGTTGATAATCAATGTCCAAATGCCAAGAGCTAAATACTGAGCCATAATAAAAGTTTTAACTGCACATGAAGCTAAATTACTTTCTGGTTAAAACCAATTTACATGGTACCAGAAATAACCCTTTAAGGCCAGAGATCTACATTTGGCGAGGCTAAAACTAGGTCGGATGCTGAGCAGTGTAAAAAGAGAGAAAAAGTGAGAAGTGCCTACCTTTGTACCAACTGTTATATCTTGGACAATGCTGTAGAAAAAAGAAAGAAAAGGATTAAAAAAGTTAGATAGGTTTGCCACAATTATCCAGCATAGTTTACAGCAGTAAGAAAAAAGCAAGTCAAAGTGCACAGTTGTCTTTGCAAGTGAGCCAAGGACAGTTTATACAAAGAAAAATTATTAGATTGTGATGGTGGAGACCCAAGACCCAGCAATGCCAGAAAACTGCAGCTCTTCCTACAGCAGAACTTGTTCTTTTTGCAAAGGTACCACAGGGGACTAAGACCAAAC